AAAAAAAAAAAAAAAAACAACTTTGTGAGAATGAAAGTCTCATTGACATCAAAATGAGATCGGGGTTTGAAGAATTGAATGAGAAGAAAAATAAGTATCTTGTATAACCAATATACATATTAAAATTAATAAAAACATCAAATGATTCCGTTCAGTTTTGTTTGATTCTTTTGAGCCTTAATTTGTTAATCGAACCGTAATTAACAATTTTTAATTTTTCAGTACCGGAACTAAACCGTCCTCTATATGTTGGATTGGTTCAGATTAGTATATTGATTACTAATATATATATATATTTTTAACTCCCCTAGTTAAGAAACAATATGTTCAATGATGACATCCAAAAAAAACTGAAACGAATCGTTTGATGTTTTTATTAATTTTAATATGTATATTGTGTTGTAAAAGATACTTATTTTTCTACTCATTCAATTCTTCAAACCCCAATCTCATTTTGACGTCAATGAGATTTTCATTCTCGCAAAATATTTTTTAATTCCGCTAGTTAAAATTTCTATATCTCGATATTTTCATGCAAATCAACAATTACGAGTGTTACTAAACAGAGGACAATATGATTTGAAAAAATAATAAAAATAAAATCCGTCGGTGGCCACATTTAGTTATAACAGGATCACCTTTTCATTTTATTTATTTATTTTTTGGTAAAATGCACACCATAGTTAGCTGTACACCTTAGAATTTTTCCATATTTTAATATGATGATAAGGAATAGCAAAGAAAAATGGCATTGGCCATGGCAATGAAGTCATTGTTTCTACACTCGATAATTGGTTGCATTGCATGTAAGCCACCAACACCAACCACTCCTTAAAGTTGTTTAAAATCCAATTTTAACAGCTGTTTGATTTTGTCTTGGATTTGAATATATGTGGCTTGCAAATAATAATATTGATATCAAAGTTGAATATGGTTTATTATTATTGTGATCTACAAAGCACTTTCCTATAGTAGCTTTTTAATCATGATGGACTGCAATTACAGTCATTAATTACCTACTAGTTAAAATTTTAAGCTACATATGATTGGTTAGAAATCATCACTTCAATTTAGTCATCAAACACTCTTACATTGTTAATACCACTGTTGCGAGAATACGTCTTAAAATTATAATTTTGTGTCGTATATATCATTGTGTCAGATTTTATCTCGGCAAATTATGATCAGTTAAAATTAAAAAAGTGGGTCAGGAGTCCCACATTTATATATACATTATTGAGGAGATGGCTATAATAAATTGAGATTCAAACCGTGTTGCGCATTTTAATATAATTAATCCAAGTTGTTAAGAACGATTCAAATGTTATAAGCTCCTAAAAAAATTATGGGAATAAGAGTGATTAAAACTAATAAAATAAGAAACAAAAGTACTCAAAATATGAAGCTAATTTGTCATTGCCTGTCTACAGCACAGATTCAGAATTGAATTAGTTTTACCCCCTCTGAGTTGACTATGAATTTGATATAATAATTGAAATGATAATGTTTTGATTCATAGGAAGACATTTGTTTTTTAGCCAATTAGCATCACTCGAAGTCACTTTCCATGGCTTTAATTAAAGGGTTTGTGATGTTGAACACATGCTAGTAGTGAAGTTCTTCGACCAATTAGATGGACAAAAGTTCAAGAAAAGGTGGATTTAAGTTTGGTTTGAATTATGAATTTTAGTAGGAATTTATAAATGGAAAGAAAATATATAAATGAAATGTAAATAAAATATAAATTATTATTATTATTATTATTATTATTTTCAATTTCCCTTCCCTTTTACAAATAAACATTCAGGTCACAAGTTCAATTTCAAAATTTTTGGGGCAATCCCCCCAAATTCTATTCTGTTGGAGTCAAAAGGACAAAAACAATTTCAAAAATCATATTATCTCTATCCATCTGTTCACGTCACTAATTTGTCTACCTCTCTATTCAAGTGTCATTTATATGTTGTCCAGCCATTCCATTTTTTATTTACATGTCACCAATCTGTCCACTTAATTTAGCTATATGTCCATAATACCACCAATCACCACTATCATCAAGCCACCTCCTAACCATTTTCCCATCACAAATGGCTTGACCAATGGCGTCTGGAAGCAGTGGGATAAAAATAAATAAATAAATAAAAATATATATCTTCAAAACTATAGTTTATCATTTTCATCAACAATTTTATTAATTATGTCATTATTACTAAAAGATTAATGTTATATCCCTATAGAAATGGACTTATCACTAGTAAATTCATTTTAAATTCCTATCATAACCTATAATCCAACTACTGTATTAATATTTGAAGGTAAAAGGATAATTTTGACATATGATTCAAATTTTGTAGTCTTATTGGAAAAAGTCAGCATTGTGTTTTTATTTTTATTTTTTGGATAAGTATGTCCGCGTTGTTATTACCTCTCAATTATTATTTTTGTCATTTCTGAAAATTTTTAATTTGTTATAATTTTGTTCAAGTATATCCTTTTCTTTTCTTTTTTATGACACATTTCTTAAAACTTTTTTGTATTTAAATTTGGAGGGACTCAAATTTATTTATTTTTTTATTTCTAATAAAGATAACATACACTCATTTAAATTTTTGAAAGAATAATTATAAATTTTAACTGTAGTTCCTAAAGTATACATTTAGGTCTCGTTTGGAGACTAAATATTTTAGTTAAAAAATCAAAAAGTCACTATAACTTATCACATATTCTCTCTATTTTTATACACATTTTCATTGTAAAAAAAAAAGTCAACAAATTACTAAAATATTATATTCCCAAAGGAGGTCTTAATGTCATTTTGATTTCTAAATTTCAATTGAACGATTTATTATATTATGTACATAAATAAATAAATAAATATTATATAACAGCCCTATAGTTTATATTGTGAATTTAGATTAATTGTATTGACCCTAATTTTTTAGCCTACTAATACTTCTTTTATTTTTTTCAGTATACTAATACTATAAGAATTAAATAAGTTAAAGAGTCCCTAAATTTTATTAAAATTTTAGAATCCATGATAGCCTTGTCCCTTCCATGAGGGCCGGTGATGCTAGGTCGTCGAAAATTAATGACTATCTAAAGGACTCTCAGTAACTTCCATTAACGTATAAAAATTATATTAAAATAAGTAAAATATATAAAAATATGTAATAATCTACACAGAAAAAATAAGACTTATGCTACAGACGCTAAATAATTTATCAATTTTCTTACCAAACCTTCCATATAGGTGTGGGACTCACACACATGTGGGTTTGTGTGTGTCTCCCATACTCATGTAAAAAGTTTGATAGAAAATTTAGTAAATCATTTGAGATCCATAGCATTTTTCAAAAATAATAGGGTAAATTACACTGACACCCCAGGGGTTTATATTTATTACAGTTTCCCCTCTCACCTTTTGAAATTACATCTCCCCCCTAAGGTTTAAAGTTTTATTACAGATTCTCTCCCTTAACAATTTAATTTTTTTAAATACCAATTTTGCCCTTATTGGGTAAATTACATTGACATCTCTCACATTTTAGGAGTTACAATCACTTCCCTAAGGTTTAAAGTAGTATTACCAATTGCCCCCTTGGTTAGTACTAGTTGGAAAAAAAATTCATTGAAAAAAAAATTATTTTTTAATCAATGATAAACAATGATAATTAGTGTAATTTACCCAAAATAATAAACATAAATCTCAGGGAGTGTCAGTGTAATTTACCCAAAATAATAATAATAAAATACATTCACCTTAAGTGGTTTTGATTACTTTTTTGAAAATTGTGTTTTTTATTTTTCGTATTATTTTTATTTTTCATGATTTTTTTAATATTTTAACTAATTTTTTTTCTTTCTAGATGCACATAACTTGAATATAACTAAAAATAAAATATTTATGAAAAATATTTAAAAAATTAAATAAGTACACAAGAATACAAAAATGTATTGAATTTTTGTATTTTTTTTTTGTATACAATAAATTTTTTTAAAGATTTTTCATAAACATTATACTTTTTAAGTGTATCCTGATTACGTGCATGTAAATATTTTTTTTTTAAAATAATAAATTATTAAAATTTTTGACTAAAAAAAACACGAAAAATAAAAAAATTAATTTTTTGAAAAATGGGCTCAATTTTCTGAAACCAAACAACATGATTAGTATTTTTATTTTTATTTG